GGATATTCCTAGGCAAATGTTCAAAGGAATTTGCCTATGCTCTCTTCAAGTACTTCTATAGCTTTTATTTAAAGAAAAATAAACAAGTAAATCTTTGATCTAGTTGGGAGTTTATTGTGGTGTCCAGTGTGAGGTAGAAATCCAAGCTATTGGTAGTGGCATTTTGTTTGGACAAAGAGCAGGAGTGGGCAGAGGCAGCTCCGGTGGCACAGACGAAAGGTAGGAAAGGACAGGCCAGGCGAGCAGGTGGACCCGCTGACCAGAGGGCCAGCCAACAACGGCGAAGCCACCCAGCAGTCTACCACGGACGCAGCTCGTCAGCCACCAAACAGGTGGACCCAAGCCCCTCCATCATCAACTCAGGTTCGCTGGCCCCCCGCCCGCATCCTGCAGCCTTGGGGACAGCCTTGGGAGCAGCCTTAGGAGGAGCACTAGTGTCCTTTTCTTTCAACCCTCGATCCTCCAGATTTGAAGATGGCTGCACAGTCAGCACCAGAAAGTTGTGCTAAAAAGCGCCACCAGCATGTCTCTAAATAAGCTTTACTAATATGCTGAAGAACAAACCGCCGATGCAGGTGAACATTCGGGCTTCAATGCAGCAACAGCAGCAGCTAGCCAGTGCCAGAAACAGAGAGCTTGCCCAGCAGGTGAAGATTTAATGCTGTCCAGGGAGCATTAAAACTTAAGCAGAGCTTAAAGCAGCACCTGGGTAAGATAATATCCAGGCACAGTTAGGCCGGCCCATAGTGGCCCTGGCCAGCGGAGTGATCGGAGGGTGAGGCCTGCCTATAACCCAGAGAGGCTTTCCTGGAGGAGGACTATGTGGGGACAGGCCACGACAACCCTGCTCAGGGGTGGGCTGTCTCTCTGGGGTCCAAACCTGCTCCAAGGTGGATGAGCCGTAGCTCCCCAGATGGGCCTAAGAAGAGTTGGTAATCGAGGTCATGGAGGTCCTGGTAGAGGAAGCCTAGGTCATGGAGCTATGGGTCGTGGCTGAATTGGTGGTAGAGGTCAGGTATGATAGGTCGGGGAAGATGGGGCTTTGGAGGTAGAGGCTGAGACCGTGGACGAAGGAGAGGTGCCCTTGCTCGCCTTGTACTGACCAAGAGCAGCTGGACAACTAATTCGGATGCGTACATGTCAAAAACAAAAGGACACCTGGAGGCCAAATTGCATGCCTGCGAGGCACAGACAGATCGCAAAACTGGTGACTGAAGCCTGCCTGCCGTCATGTGAGAGACTCTTGCTAAAGTCATCACATCTGTAAATAACCTTGAGAAGAAACCTATCTGATTGTTGCTGGAAGGACCTATCAAAATAGACCATGGGCTTATTTGCCATGGGCTAAATGCAGTTTGTGCATTTAGTACATTCCTTTTACTTTTTTGATATCGTATTGTTATGAAGCCCTTTTTCCTTCTGACTTGGGTTTGGTTTCATTTTGCCATTTGGGGAATTTTTTCCCCTTCTCCCAGACTTCTCTTTGAACATGAATACATCAGCCCTCTTTCCACCTCTGCCTCCCCTCCCCATCATACATGCTCTGACATTCTAGGGCTCCTTGTGTTCACCTCCATACCCCCTGAAAAAGTCCCAGGAAGAATCCATCAACGTTCCTCCCTAATGCCTAGGTTTCTGAGATATGGTTCTGTTCTACATCATTTTAATAGCCTCCTAGAAATGTTTCAAAGATCTGGAGTTCAAAAACGTGTTTTGCCCAATTGATATTTTAATGTAGTAAATTAGAAACATTGACCTAGCTACAGAGCCACTTAACGGGTTATGTACATGTAGCAGCTCTGATTTGATTAAAGTTGCTACCATGTGCATTGACACCACGTAATGTGTGCTGGTTTGGATGTGTACATACTTTCTAACCTGGAATAAGATTTATAAACTTTCCTCTTGACTTTGCATCATGTCCAAAGGGGTACTGCTGGGTTGGTTTATACCTGAGATAGAGAGCCAGTTGGTTAAGCAGATGCTTCAGAAGGGATGGGAGAACCATGGCAGATACCTGCTGGGGAGGGGTCAGAAGATACCCATGCTGAATGTAATTCTTATATTTATCCCAAACCAGTCTTGGGCTTTTCCATACATTGGCAGTGTCTGACCTCTTATTTCCCTTGAAGGTTTGTGAGTTCGACTGTATTCTGTCAACTCTTCCAGTTTCAGTGGGATCTTGTATTTTTGGTTTATTTTTAACAACAGGTTGTTCTCTCAAATCCAGTAAATAAGTAAATAAAAATAAATCCAAGCTCTTGTTTGAGACAGGGGAGGCTGAACCCAAACCAGGCACAGCCTAAGGTAACTTAGTTCCCAGAAAGAGACCAGGTCCATTTCAAGGACCTAATGCATGGAACAAAAGAAGTGCCCAGAACTGGCCAAGTTTAGACTCCAGGACGGCTGAAGTCACACCATGTCATGGTGGGGTGATGGCAAGAAGAGAAACCTGACAGCAGGCCCCAGGTCCCAGCCAGCAGAGAGACAAGAAGACCAGGAGAAGGGCCTGGGAAGCTGCTTCCGTACTCCAAGGGCCTGATCTCTGGGGAATCCTGTGGCTCCCGGCTTCTGAAGCCTCAAGGTCATCACTCCCTGAACCCTACTAATCTGACACAGGGAGACAGGTGGGAGGGAGTCCTTGTCCTCAAGTTCTCATTCTTAAGGGAGGGTCACAGGATCCACCACAACCCTAAACAAGGCCAAAAACAAAATAAAGGTCAAGGAACACTGAGCAATAAATTCTGACCAGAAGGACTTCATGTGATGGCATTTGAGCTGAGACTTAAGGAATTAGTGAGCTCTTAAAGTAACAGGTGGAGATAATTTTTACTGCAATAACATTAATTATGTAGCTCATCTTTATGCTGTTGACTTTTCTTTCAGGAATAAGTCTGCCAGTCCCTAAGTTCAGTCTTCTTTTGCATCATTGAGCAGCATTTTGAATTTTCCTTTATATAGACTTCATGCATTTCTTATTAAGTCTATTCTTAGGTCGTTTATCTTTTGTTTTTATTGCAAATGGGGTCACCACTTCCATTATGTCCTCTAAGTGGTTGTTGGTATAAATAGAGAACCTATTGATTTCCTTAGTTTAATTTTGGACCCAGACAACTAACTGCATGTTTATATTATCTGTTTTTCAACAGATTCACTTGGATTTTCCAGATATAAAACTGTATTATCTGCAAACCGTGTTCATTTTACCTCCCTTTTTCCATTTTCTAAAGATGACTAAAATCAAGGAGGGCATTCTTCCTGATTTCTAGCCTTGAGTGTTCAGTGAGGAAGAAGGGGATAGAAATTTGCATCCACTATATTGCCTCCTGGCCTTGACCGATGTTCCTTCCTTTGCTACCACCCCTCCCTTCTTTTACCTGGTACAGTAGACACCCCCCTTACCTGTGGGACATGTGTTCCACAACCCCCAGTAGATGCCCGAAACTGCAGACAGTTTCAGTACATATACTACAAACCCTATCTATACTATGGTGGTTGTTTTTTTTAATACATACTCTCCCATTATAAAGTTTAACTTGTAAGTTAGGCAATTTCACAGATAGAAGATTCGTTCTTATTGTAGATCTTGGTAACCTCAGCATACAATTTTTTTCTTTCTTTATGAAGTTGAAAACTTCCACCTTTCCACTTAAAGGAAGCACATTATGGCTTCTCTTTGGCATACCCGAATTGCCAGCCTCACTACTCCTGTGCTTTGGGGCCATTAAGTAAAATAAGGATGACTTGAACACAAACACTGCAATACTGTGGCAGTTGGCTACAAAGTGACCAGTGGACGTGGAGCATCTGCAGAGTGGATACACTGCACAAAAGGATGGCTCCTAACCTGAGCAGGGCAGAGCCGGACAGTGGGAGATTTCAACACATCGCTCAGAACTGCCAGCAATTTAAATTTTTTTTTAAATTTTAGAGATAGAAACATTGTTTTGTTATTCCACTTATTTATGCATTCATTGGTTGTTTCTTGTATGTGCCCTGACAAGAGATCAAACCCGCAACCTTGACGTAATGGGAAAATGCTCTAACCAAATGAGCTGCCCAGTGAGGGCAATAAAACTTACGAATTGTCTATTTCTGAAATTTTTCACTTAATATTTTCAGGCTCTGGTTGACTGTGGGTAACTGAACACTTGGAAAGCAAACCTATGGATAAGGGAGGACTGACTGCTGGAGATCCCCATCACTCTTCAAGCCTGAGGTCAAATGCCACTTCCTCAGGGAAGCACTCCTTGACATCCCGGCCAAAGTCTGTTTGCTGTACTTCCCCATCATAGAGGTCAGCCAGCACATTGCACTGCATGGTGGGAGAACAGAGTTAGCCTGGGCCTCCCCCAGCCTGGAGCTCTAAGAGGGAAAGGAGCTGTGCTCATTTGGGGGAACATGTGTTTTCAGCCTGCCCCACAGCCATTTACCCCTCAATTCCATTTTGAGATTTTCCTCCTTTTATTAAGTATAGTAAGTAGGGATTGAAATAAAAGGTTTTCTCTTCTCTAGCTGGGGGGGTGGGGAGCATATGACCAAAACTAGACCACATGGATGCCATCACTATGAATTTGAATATTTTTTCTTTATTTTATTGATTTATAGAGAGAGGGGAAGGGAAAAGGGTAGAAAGAGAGAGAGAGAGAAACATTGATATTTGAGAGAAACACTGATCAGTTTCTTACCCATGTCCCAACTGGGGACTTAACCCACAATGCAGGCATGCGACCCGACCGGCAATCAAACCCACGACATTTTGGTTTGCAGAACAATGCCCAACCAACTGAGCCATACCGGCCAGGGCCAGGAATATGAATATTGACACAAGAAGATTAAAATTGTTGCACTATGTTCCAGATGCAGAGATGTAACCCTATATGGCAAGTCCCCCTCCCTAGCCTCTAGTGGCGCCCACCTTCAAGCCTCCTGGTGACTCCATGAACAGCCCATTTCCTTTCAAGGAATTCACTCTTGCTTCAGTTGGTCACAGTTGATGTCAGGGTAGACTGTGCTGCTATAACAAACTACCTAAAATCTCAGCAGCTTAACATAGTAGAGCTTTATTTCTTGTCCATGTCACAGTTGCAGGGGGTTGGCAGGGAGCTCTGCTCCACAAAGTCACTCAGGTTCCCAGCCTTTTTTCATCTTGTGACTCACCCTTCCTATAGGTCTCTGCAGTCGTCAGCTCTCTCCATCTGGCGTCAAAGAGAAAAAGGGAGAAAGAAGCATTCTGCAGGAGGAAGATCTGGAAGTATCCCGTATCACTTCCACGAAATCCCATAGTCCAGAAATCAGCCATATGGCCCCACCCAACTTCAAGGGAGACTAAGAAATATAGTCTAGTTGTGCACAAAAGTGAAAAATAAACAGGGTTGGCCACTATTGCTTGCCACCAGCCAAAGTATACCTTGACCAATACACTCACCATTGTCTTGTCAGTTCCTAGCCCCAGGCCTGACGCAGAGTGTCTTCATAATAACCCTCACAAGGCTCAGGATAATTAAGCAGCTGGCTGAAGGTCATCCAGCCAGTAAGTGGCAGAGCCAAGATTCAAAGCCAGTGCTCCTTCCATTGTCCATGCTGCCCCCCAAAGTCTATCTGTGTCCTCAGCCCAGAGTTGTGTGGAAAAATGAAATTAATAAGAGCCAGACCCTTGCCTGGAGTTCATATCAAAAGAAAAAAGCTGAAGAGCAGCCCAAGTTTGCCAAGACTTAAAGGTCAGTTCAGGACAAAAACAAATGAGATGGCACATACTTGTGCCAACTGCACTGCACAAATGTAGAGAGCAGAGAAATGCACTTTGGGCTGAACCCAATGATCTGGGAAATCCTCAGAGAACAGGGATAGCTCTAATATCCAGGGAAGCAATGTGCACACAAATTCTCCCAGGGACACTTTGGATTCAGGCCCTGGTCTCTGAGTGTATTGCACTGGATCTGACAGCAGGCAATTTGGGCCTTCGGTCTCAGTCTAGCTGCCTACATGCTTCACTATTTGTCATGGGCTAAACTTCTCGGGACTGTTTTAGGTTGTGTGACAGAAAAGCAATTCAAACTGGCTTTAAAAAACAAGGATATACTCTGATTCATATATATTAAAAGTCCAGGTGTAGCAGGCCTTCAGGCATAGCATACACAATCCAAGGGCTCCTACCATATCCTTGGGCCTTGGTCTTCTCTGTCTCTTCATTTTTGCTTTGCTCTTAGCCAAGTTCTCCCCTAGTGCTGGACCCTGGCTGTTCTAGAATAATTCTAGAGGAAAAAAAGATTTTCTTTCTAAATTATCTAGAAAGAGTGCTAGGATTTATTCTACAACCAGAATGGCTTAGGCCACCCTTACGCCATCAGTTTTGAGCTGGATGGACTCTTTTAAAGTCCTGGATGGTGTACATGTTCCACACACCGATCATACCTGCGCTCTGTCACCATACCCCCTCACCACCATTTCCAGGCTGTGGTGATTTCAGGTGAGGGAGGATGCAGAAGGGGGGAACCTTTCAAAGAAAGGGAGACCCCAGGCTGGCACCTCCCCTTGAGGCAGTCAGGACCCTGTCCAACGTATCATGACACATCCTATAGAAGACTGCTAGTAGACAGGTGTGGATTTCTCTCAAACACTCAGTGAATGAAGGCTTCTGCTGCCCAGAAAAGGGGCCAAAAAATGTGATAGATCCCAGGGTTGGTAGACTATCTCCATCCCCCAGCCTGCTTGAGGACCAGGATTTTCTGCTGAGTGCCCCTGAGCAGCACTACCTTATCCATGTGACTCACTTTGAAAAATAAAGTCTGGCATGGGGACCACCAGGACAGAACTGGTGGCTGGGCCTGGGCTGAGCAGGATGAAGGAGATTAGGAAATGTCTTGCCTCCACACGGTCCAGAATTCAAGATAGTCTTTGGGCACAGTTTGTGACAATAAAGAGAAACTCACTTCCACTAATTTAAATAAAGTGATAGTATGTTTAGGAATGCTTTCAGCAGCAAGTAATTAAGACATAAAAATGATGGTTCATTTTTCTTGCTTAATAGGAGCTAAGAGATGCTGTATAGACTCAGCTGCCCCATGGAGTCATGGCATCTCTATGAGTCTCTTAGCATTGCCCTCATGGTGGCAAAACAGCAGCTGCAGCTCCAGGTATTGTGTTCACATTTTAAGTAGGAAGTGGAGGGAAAGAGATGACGCCAGCTACACCTTGCTCCTTTTTAGGATAAAAGGAAGACTTCCTGTAAACCTTGGGCAGCTTGCTGCTCCCATCCCATTGACCAGACCTGAGAAATATAGCTTCCCTAAGCTGCAAGAAAGGATGTGAAAGAAAATATTTAGCTTTTCTAGACTGGATGGTGGCAGAAGCAAAAGAGAAGTAAATAAGGAATGCCAAATAATGTCAACCACAAGAAAGTTTATTTTGAATATAGCAGGATAACATTTTTCATACATTAACTTATTTCAATTTCCTGATATTTTCTTTTTTACTCCCTGCTATCAAGGCAAAACCTGTGCTCGTCATCTCAAGAAAGAAATGTGAGAGGGTGGAAAGCAGAAAAAAAAGCCAGAAGTCTGACTTTTGTGTCCCAAAAGCTTCTGTCCTTAGTGGAGCAATACAAAGACCAAAAATAGAGCTTGTCCCCTTTAGATCAGTAATACTCTCCTGAGGTACAGGCTGAAAGAGAGAAGCGTAAGAAAGATAATGAAAAAAAGAAAGAGTTTGGGGAGTCTCTGAAGGCAAGGCTTTGACCCCATACTTCTTGGGGGCATGGTACAGCAAGACTAAAAAGAGATTTGAGAATCTCAAGAGCAGATGGAAAGACTGGTTTCCAGCAGTCATGGGAGCAACTGACTGATCCCCGAGGCTTGCAGGTGGTCTAGAAGAGGCCGAAGAGTGGCACAGACAGAAACAAAGGTCAGGGGCAGATGGCTGAGTGCTCTTGTCTTGAGCACACCTACATGGATAGAGGACTTCAGGACAGACATTGACAACCGTAACTGGGCACTTCAAAAGCCATCCAGGAATTAGACACATGCATACAGCAAAGGGGTAGTGCCATCCTGGTTTGCAATAGAAATTATGCTGAGTTATGGAAAATGTAAAGAAAGTTCTTCCTGCACCTTCAGGGTGTGGACTGAGGTCAGAGTCTACAGCAGAGATGGCTGGTTGCCTCACCCAGCATCTATTCTCCCCCTTGTTCCCTAGGAATAAACCCTTGCTTTTCCCTAAACACAGTGCCCAGACTCCCTTGAGCAAGGTGGGATCACGTGACTAAGCAGTAGACAATAAGATGTAAGCAAAACTGCTCTGTGTGACTTGCAGAAACTTTTCTTAAAAGGGAAGGACCCATTTTTGTCCCTTCTTCTTTGTTGCTGCTCGGAACCAGACAGCTCCAGCAGCCATCCTGGCCCGGGAGTTGACCTTAAAAATAAAAGGTGGCAGAGAAAGCAGAGCCTCAGTCTCTACGACATGGCTGTATCTTCTTGGGTTGCCCAACTCCAGACTTATTTGACAAGGATGGGAAATGCACTATATTAGTCTACTTGGGGTGCCATTACATCATTCCATAGGTGGAGTGGCTTAAATAACAAAATGTATTTTCTCACAATTCTATAGGCTAGAAATCTGAGAACAAGGTGTCAGCAGACCTCTCTCTTTGGCTTATAAATGGTTGTCTTCTCCCTATTGTCACATGGTCTTCCCTCTCTATGTCTCTGTGTCCTAATCACCTCTTCTTATAAGGACACTAGTCTTATTGGACTAGGCTCATCTCACCTGAATTACGTCTTTAAAGGCACCATCTGTGGTCTAGCAGAGAGAGCGACACCAAGAAGTAGGATACTTAGTGTCACATGTGGTTTCTCACCCACTTTCCAATGAAGATCTGACCACAGGAGAGTGTGCTGTGCCTTCAAGGTGTTAGCTCTGGACAGGGGTGATTTCAGGCAGGAAAGCTCTTTTCCATATTTTCCCTGCCAGTCACTGCGTCTTGTGATTCCTTAGACGTGTCAGGGTGGTGGGACGAAGGAGTCTCTGCGGACGCTCCCTCAGGCGTTGTCACTCTCCTTAGTGAAGCTGCTTAATTCCCATAGGCTTCAGGCTTGACTTTTCTGTTGTTGAAGATAATAAAAGGTCATTATTATTTTTTTTAAAGACATCATCTTCGAGTACGATGACATTCTGAGGTATGAATTGGGGGAGGTGACATCACATCATAACATACACTTGCTAAGCAGGAGCCAGCACTACCTTGTGGTGCATCCCTGGATAAATAACTCCCTGTCCTTTCTGAGCCTCAGTTTTCTCTTTTGTGAAGCAAGGAGCTTAACGTACTGGTGGCTGCTGTTTTGCATTTTGCTTCTCAAGGTTCCCCCTAGGGCTGCATCTCACCTAAATTTAGGGCTAATCTGTACCCATTATGGGCTTGGTGGAACAGGAGAAGGGTGTGGGTGGGCTCACAGACTGACGGCTGTGGGGCTGCAGCCTCCTCTCCGCCAGCTCTGGACTGGCTCAGGCCTTCACGACCACTGACTGTCCTCCCAGGACGCACTTGGAGAGGTTGTGAACAAGAGTGGTGGATAAGGCCTGTTCCCCACGCCAACATCCTCACCCGGCCTGCCCTGGACCTCAGAGATGGGGAGTCACATCACACAAAAGTCGGTGCTAGGTGTGTCTTTCATGGCTAGCTCAAGAACCCTCATTTGACTCCTGGAGAAAACGAGGCAAATCATTACACTTAAACCTGGGCCTCGAAGTTCACCCCCCTCCCACCTCGTTGAGAACTTCTCTCTACTCTATTTTCTCTCAACTGGAATCCATCCCATTAACTTCTTTTTAAAGATTTTATTTATTTATCTCTAGAGAGAGGGGGACAAAGGGAGAGAAGCATGATGTGTGACAGAAACAATGATTGGTTGCCTCTCTCACACCCCCAACTGGGGACCCAGGCGTGTGCCCTGACTGGGAATCGTACGAGCAACCTTTTGGTCCACAGGTCAACGTTCAGTCCACTGAGCAACACCAGCCAGGGCCCATTAACTTTTTAGAGAGTAAATAATTCACCAGTTTAAAAAAAAACTAACAACAGAAATAAATTTACATTTGTCATTCCTGTTCCCCATTCTCCCCGTGCTCCAACCTCTTTGTGCTGACCACTTTTCACTTTTCCCCTAGGGTTTTTTAATGCAAATATAAATACATTTTCATATTTCCCATTTCCCCCATGTCTTACACAAAATATGGCACACTAAATATACAATTCCTCCATTATAGTATACCCTAGCAATGTTTCTATTATAGTACCCAGAAATTTTCTTCATTTTTTATAGCAGCAAAATATTCCATTTTATGCATGTACCATAGTTTATTTAATCAGTCTCCTATTGATGGCCTTTTGGGCTATATTCAGTCTTGGGAGAAAAAGTCAACAGCAACAACAACTAACACACATGTGCACACATGCACATTTCCATTCATGCCAAATAGCCCTGCAGCATAAATTCCCAGAAGTGAGACTGACAAGTAAAAAAATAAAGCATTTGTAATTTTGATAGAGAATAACAAGTTGTCACTCACAAGAATTGCACAAATTTGCACAACCCATCTGAAACATACATAAGGGCCTATGTCTCTTTTGCCTCACCAGAATGAAAAATGACAAACTAAGGAAATATATTTATAACTCATACCATAAAAGAAGGGCTTTTCTGCCTAATATATAGAATTTATAAAATCAATAAGAAAAAGCCCCGGCTGGTGCAGCTCAGTGGATTGAGTGCCTGACTGCAAAGCAAAGGGTCACCGGTTCAATTCCCAGTCTGGGCATGTCCATGGGTTGGGGGCCAAGTCCCCAGCAGGGGGCATGCGAGAGACAACCACACATTAATATTTCTCTCCCTCTCTTTCTCCCTCCCTTCCCCTCTCTCTAAAAATAAGTAAATAAAATCTTTTTTTAAAAAAGAACAGTATAGTGAATGGAGAAGCCAGAGAACTTACAGGCACAACCCATACACATGAACTAAGGGGGAATCGCTGGAGGGAAGGGGGGGAACCCGGCAGAGGGGGATGAAAGTGGAAAAATTGCGACAACTGTAATAGTTTAATAAATAAATTATACTTTAAAAATAAAAATAATATTATTTAAAAATCAATGAGAAGACCAATGAACCAATTGAAAAATGAGTAAAAAAAAAAAAAATTTAAAAAGATAGTCTCTAAAGAAAAATTTCTCCTAGACCTCTGAAAAAATGTCAAGTTCACGCATAATAAGAGAAATGCACATCCAAACGATACTGAGAGGCTATTTTTCACCTATCAAAGAGCAGCAAAAAAAAATCAAACATTTGACACTTTGTCATTATTTCTACCACCTGGAACTTCTCCTCTCTTAACAAATAATAAAGTAACTCTCACTTGCCCTTTCCAGGTACTACCTTATTTCTCTTCTCTTCTCCATAAGCAAACTTGACTCCACTTGCACACTTACTCAAAATACATTGTCAAGGCAGGGGTTCTCAACCAGGGCGATTTTGCCTTTCAGGGGACATTAGGCAATGTCTGGAAACAATTTTGGTTGTCACAACTTGGTGAGGGGTTGGGGGCACGGGGGGAGGTGCTGGTACTAGCATTCGGTGAGTGAAACCCAGGGATACTGCTAAACATCCTTCAAGGCACAGGACAGCCCCAGAATTATCCAGCCCAAATGTCAACAGTGCATTAAGGCTGCCTCTGACATCAAAGTTAAGTCCTGTGGACTTTTCCTAAGTCTTCATCTATTCTGGTCCCTCATCAGCATTCAGCACTAGCAACCCTTCTTGAAAAGCTGACTTCTGTGACATTGGCTTTCTTTTCTCCATTCCCTACACTGGCTCATTCCTCTCTAGGTGGCAATTAAATATGTAGGCTCCTCAAGGTGGGATCCTAGATACTCTTTCCCTCTCACTCCGCACTAACCCTAGGTGATGGCACTCACCCCCTTGACTTTCATCACCGTCTGCCCAAGTCTCACCTGGGAGTTCCAGTTCCGTACAGCCAACTTCCTGCTCCGCAATGCCACTCCGAAGTTTCCAAGGCCCCAGGACCCTCCAGATCGAGCTTGCCCTCATGACCCTCTGTACCAGCCCCTTTCGGCGTTCCCTATCCCAGTGACTGGCAAACCACCAGACTACATGGGAGAGCCAGAGCCTAGAAGTCATCCTCAACACCTCCCTCTTCCTCAGGCCTCAGCATGGCCTGAGGTTTATTTTTAAAACATCATTCTAGCCCTGGCCAGGAGGCTCAGTTGATTGGAACATCGTCCCATATACCAAAAGTTTGCGGGTTCGATCCCTGGTCAGGACACATGTGGGTGACAACCAACTGATGTTTCTCTCTCACATCTCTCTCCCCCGCCATTCTTCACTCTCTAAAATCAATAAAACATATCTTTGGGTGAGGATTTTTAAAAAAAGTCTTGCCAGTTCATCAACTTCTCTCTTTCCCGCTGTCACAGTCTGCCCCATGCCACCCTCACGTTTAGCCTAGACACCTGTCCCGTCTCCTGCATTGGTTCCCTGCCACCACCTTGCCCCAAGCAGAGAGAGGGAGCTCTTCAAATCACAAATCTGATCACCTTCCTGTCCTACTGTCATTGGCCTCTACTTTCTCTGAAGATCAAATCAAAGCCCCTCTGGCGCGGGCATGGCCTGGTCCCTGCCAGTGTTATCACACTGGCGGAGGGGCCCTGCCCCAGGTGACCTTGTAGGGGTCTTTCCACCGTGACATTCTGTAATTCAAGCTCCTGGACATGTGCAGCCCTAGAACTATATGGTGACACTTGAGTAACACAGAGCTGAAAGAACTCAGTGGCAAGCTGCATCGCCACCTGGGTGTTCCAGACAAAGGAACAGGAGTACAAAGACCCTTCAGGAATGATACAAGTTGAAAATCTTTCCCCATGTACTTACTGGTTGTTTTTATTTCTTTATTTTGGAACTGCAAGTTCACAATCTTTGCTCTTTGCCTTGTCTTTTTCTTTATGATTTGTAAGAGCTGATTTTCTATTAAGGATGCTGTCCTTTATCTGTCATGTGTATTATACACTTTTAAAATAATTGGCCTTTTTTGGGGGGGGGGGGGTGAGGTTGGTTTATTTGTGTTAGTTTTTGCTATGTAGAAAATTTTTAATTTTGTACAAAGCTATGATTTCTGAGCTTAATTTCTCACCTGGGAAACACTTTCCCTTTGAGATTTAACAACTTTGTATTCATATTTTCTTCTAATTCCTCTAGAGTTTTTTTAAACTTTGAAATCTTTGATTCATCTATTATTTCCTATGCTTTAACCAGTGAGTGACTATCCAGATTTATACTTTTCAAAGACTATTGAGTCACCCATCTTTTCCTCATGAATTTGAAATGCTCAGGTGCCAGGCACTACCCTCAAACCTACTAAGCTCAAACTTACCCCTCCTAGCCTCAGTTTGCAATACAGAGAGTGGGGTTCTATAGAACACCTTTCTCTGGGTCCATGCCAGGGGCAGAGTCTGCCCGTTGGTGGAGCTAAGGGTAGACTTGGAGGCAGGAGGAGTAAGAAAGACACAAATGCTCTCATGACCCTGGGGCAATGGTGATGCTGAGGGGCAGCCTGAGGGGCTTGAGCCCTCTCAATGGTCCATCAGTTCCCCACAGAGTCATCCCAAATCAGCATCACTGCCTCAAAGAAAATTCTTCTTCCTCTTGTAATCAGATTGCTGTCCCAAATACATCTACAGAGAAATTCTGGAACTGACCCTACTTGGGTTCAGGAGAGATCATGAAGCCTAAAGGGCTGCTCTCCCCGATCCAACACCTGCTTGGCTGACATCTGCACATAGCTCACCCACCCACGAAATTTCTCTTTGCACAGCTGTACCCACCCAGGCGCATTGGCCCAAGGGTGGCATTCTCTGCCGCTCACTCTCTGGCTCTTCCTCCCCACCTTACAGTGCTAGGATGAAGGACCTAGGCCTGGAGGTTGAGTCCCCTGGGGCCAGGGACTGACCCAGCTGGAATGGGAATCCAGCCCCCTCTCTCGGCCCCCAGGTTTCTTCATTGGTGGCAGTGCCACCGTATTTGTTTGGGTTCCATTGCAA